TTGTGTGTGTGTGTGTGTGTGTGTGTGTTGTCTGTCTTGTCGTTCACAGAAACAACGACACCAAAACTCCCCCTCCTGGGATGCCTTCATGGGCAAGCTGGGCTGTGCAGAAGTCATGGCAGGAGGTATTACGATAAAATCAGCACCAAAATTTCCATATCCTTAACAGGAAGAAAGACTACGTCTACATGTCGTCCACGATATCCCATGAGGGCAACACCAGGTTCGCAGTCAACAGGTTGGTGGGAATTCCAAAGCCTTTTTTTTGGTTTTTTGTTTTTTGGAACGAATAATGCAGTTGTGTTCTTCTCATACGGGGGGTAGTTTTTTTTTTTTTTTCCCCCTACCCTATTTTCCTCTCTTACCTCCCTCTAGCTACCCTTATATATCTATATGTTACCCACAAGCCCTACCAAGCTGACAATGGATCACAGACACCAGCTACCTATGGAAGTTGGGACGAAGCTTAAATCTACTAGCTAGAGCTAAGCTATCCTGAGGTTATGGGTCTACGCCTACCTATCTCTGCTCTGTGTGGGGAGCAGTACCCAAGCTCCTGACACCCGGCGCGGGCTGGAAAGAACTGATTACTTCCACAACCAGCCAGCGGGCCCAAGCCAACAGTCTCCGCCGGTGAAGCCGATGCATACCCCCAGGAGGCGGAGGGGATCGAAAGTACGACGTTGGGTATTGAACCCACGACCTCCTGAGTGCCACTTACGCGCTCAACCAACTGAGCAAGCCCGCTTGGGCTATTCGAAAGCGTTTGTCTCTTTTTTTTTCTCTCTCTCTTTTTTGTTTTTAGTGAAGGTCTTTCTTTTTCCTCTTTTTTCATATCATGAAGTCGTGTTTCCCCCCCCCCCCTTTTTCTTCGAAAACATAAGCTGATGAGGTAATGCTTTCCTTAGCAAACATGACCTTAAGGTCACTTTTTTTCCTTTCAATAAAAGGGGGRGGGGGGGGGGGGGGCGGGAGTACTTTACTATTTTCTGTTGAAAAGCTCAAAATGCCTAGAATTTTGTCTTTGATGCTTCTCAAAGCTTATGTGGGAGTATTCCTCGATGGGACCCTTGGTTGATAGGAATGTGGCCATGGGCCCTCCAAAAGAAAGAAGTTGACGTACCTGGACTGTTTGACGGCTAGGTACGTTGACGTCTCCATGCAAGAAAAATACAGGTACATGAGTGCAGGGGCTCCTGCGTCTTTTATTCTCCAGGGTCATTTCCAGTAATGCCGAGGCCCTGCAAATTCCTGCTATGTCTTCCACTTTTGGGCATCCTTTTAGGAAGAGCGAGTTTCAAACTTAGCCAAACAAGTTCAATTGACTGCACTGAGGACTCTTTTTTTATTTTTATTTTTTATTTTATTTTTAATGGGAACAAGGCTCCAATCTATTTGTGGGGAGAAGCTCTTGCTGGGAACCGGGCCCAGCGTCCCATATGGAAATTTACATATGATTTTGAAGATTGAGATACCGGGGCCATTACCCGGCTTTGGCTCAGAAAAAACGAAGCTACTTAGCAAATGACTACGACAAACTTCAGAGTATAAACAGAATTCAGAAAACTGCTCAGAAAACCTCCCCATCCATCCACTTTACCTTACTCCGGCAAGACTTACTGCAGCAGAGCCACCGTCTCCGCTGTTGCTATGCCCTATTCCCATCCTATCAGCTAGCCCCCTCACTTGTAGGACGCGTGATATCCCACCATCTCCTTCCCCACTCCCCCTTGTTCTGTTTTGGCTCAAAAAGTTGGAGCTACTTTAGGAAATGACTACAACAGACTTCAAGAATCAACAGGACTCAAAATCCAACTCGAACCCCCCACCCCATCAATCCTCTGTTCCTCACTCCGGCAAGACTTACTGCAGCAGAGCCACGATCTCTACTGCTGCTATACCCTATTCCAATCCCACCAGCTAGCCCCGTCACTAGTAGGACGCATGATATCCCACCGTCTTCTTCTCCCACTCACCTCGTTTCTTTTTTAGGATAGACTGCCGGGGTTCTAAAAGAAAATCCAAAAATCTCGACCTCCTTACCAAACCTTTCCAGAGTTCCTCAAAGTTGTCTTACTCCCTGCCGAGCTCTTCCAGGCCTCACACCCCCACTTCCTGCTGGGTTATAGGGCAACACAACTCGCCCCAGCTCCGGCCAGCGTCATCCCAGCAGCAAACCTTGGTTGTCCCGCGAGATGACCACCCCAAAGCATCCCCAGGTCTCTCTACCAGGCCTCACGCTCCTTCAACAGGTTACAGGGCAACACCCCAGCTCCGGCCAGCGTCGTTCTGGCATCGAACAGCCGCAGATCGCTGAGTATAGCAACTTCAAGGCAACCTGGGAAAAGTTGGTAGAAGCCCCAAAATCCTAAACGTTCTCAAGTCCCCCTTAACTGCCAAACAGGGTACAATCCAGAAAAAGGGAGGTCAAAACTAGAAATTAATACCAACTATCCTAAAATCCCCTCTCAACAAGCGGACCGCCAGTCCTGGCTTTCAGTCCTCGTACCATAACTCACCTGGTCTCATACCCCCCTCCGCTAGGGTAACAGGGCACCACAACCCACCCCAGTGCCGACCAACCTAGTTCTGACGGACAGGAAGTGCCTTCCTCCCTTGACAATTCCTTTAGCGGCAAACCCCTAAACAGGTTACCGGGTCCACGCCCCGGTGCCCACTACGTTGGACGATCTGGTTATGCCTTCCACCCTCGGCATAACTCCATGGACCTCAAGCTCCCCCTGGGTCACAGAGCACAGCTCCAGCACCGGTCTATGTCGTCCCAGCATCGTCCTCCTGACCTACTCACCTCAACCGACATCTCCCGTCTGTTGAAAGTCCCCTTTCATTCTTTCCATCAACCCATTCTAGTTTCCCCCCTAGGCAATCAGAAAAGGCACACCACCGTCGTAGATCTTTTCATCGAAAATCAGATCTGTATCATCTTTTTGAGGCGTGAAATTTTGAGATGAGATCACTTAGTAATTCGACTCTGATTTCCAGAACCGTATTCAAGAAATCACTCAGACTGTAAATCAGGAATTAAACTAATTACCATTGAAATCAGAAAATCCCTCGAGCTACAATAGGATTGGAAGAAGAAAATCACGCAGATCAAATATAGAAAACCCATTGAGCTACAAATAAGATTGGGAAAAAGAAAATCGCTAGATCAACTAAGGGTTGGATGTCTTGAAAAATCCAAATAGGAGAAAACGCAATAGAGAAACAATTCTGATGTCCATCTGGACTTTCGACACTGATTTCCCAAACATAGAGTTCAGAAAAATGCTCAGACTGAGGACTCTGGATTCTGTAACAAGTACTCTTTTATTCTTAACTCTTTTCTTTGACTTTGTTGATGATAACTTTGCTGGTAATAACTTGGCTGATGATAACTTTGGTGATAATAACTTTTGTGATGGCTTTGCTGATGGCTTTGCTGCTATTTGAAATTTTGAACTCTCTTTGTTGGTATTTGCCAATTTTGACTCAGTATTTGAATTTGCAACTCTTTTCTTTGACTTTGGTGATGACTTTGGTGATGACTTTGGTGATGACTTTGGTGATGGCTAAGGTGATGGCTTTGCTGATGAGAGGTTGGGCAAGGCGTGCTTGTGCATGTGGTGTCTGTGCGCGTGTGTTGTTTTGTGACTTACTCTTGCAGGTGGGTTGACAGAGAATGGGGAAGAAATTATGAGCAACAAAAAGCAAGGAAAAGGTCAGCTCGGTGATGTGATGCTGGAGGATGCACAACAGGCGTCTGCGCAGGCGGCGGAGGAGGAGGAGGAGAAGGAGGAGGAGGAGGAGGAGGAGGAGGAAACTGACTCATTTGTCAAGTTCATGTTTGAGCCATTCCCCAGAGCAAATGAAGGTTTGTGTTGACTTGACCTCAGGGTACGCTTGCGTGCTAACAACTCCACTCCACATTGGACTTGAATAAACGAGCACCTCTCGCAAAAGAAAGTTAACCAAACCGGCGCATTTGTCCGAGGCTGGAGGACCGAGACGAAATGTTTTGGGCCTACTGGTAGCAGCAGGGAGAAGAAATATCCAGACTTTTTGTTTGTCGAGCGGAACCACTGGAGATGTTGTATCAACTTGTATGCCATCAGAGTTTACAAGGACTGTATGACAGAGTCAGACAGATTATAGTATCATTATACCAGTTCGTGATTGTGTGTTAAAAAAAAAGAAAAAAAAGAGCGGCGACAGAGCTTGCCAGATATTACAGTACGCTAATTGCACCTGTTTGAAGTTTGAACAGAGCTCTGCAATTGTTTGAACAGAGCAAGTAAGAACTGGAGATGTTGTATCAACTTGTATGCATCAGCCTTCCTAGTGAGACTATTGGCGATGAACTTAATGTTACAATAATGCATGATAAATCTTTAGACTCTTTAGAGTTTAGAAGTTTGAACAGAGCTCTGCAATTGTTTGTCCGACGCTGGGGATTCATGGAGAGCTGGAATCTTTCTCCTGGGAGTCTTCGGGTGAAGCAGGATTTTACAGTGGTATGAAGTGCATGATGTGAGCACTGCGACGGTGGAAGAGGGGAGCGCAGGAGAAGCATGCCGTATTAAATTTGTTGTTGTATTCTGTTGTATCAAGTTGCATGGTGTGGAAAAACTTGTCCGTCATCCCTGGATCATATAGATTATCTGTGCGCTTTAATGGGAATTTTATTTATGCTGCTTTTGAGTGACACTGCATGATTGGAGTTTACCGGGACAAGCTCGTGTTGTCCCCAATCATATGGATGATCTTTGGGATTCATGATTACGCTGCTTTTGAGCGACACTGGCAATGGGTGAAGGTGGGAATCCTTCTACTGCGAAGCCCCAGTCAAAAAGGATTCCATAATTTGAATTGTATGATGACAAGACGTGAGAATCCAGCACCGTACAAGTCAATCTTGAGGCTTCACAAGTGGTTTACTAGGGGGATCCCCACTTTTCAGATCTTGGGTTAACTGGTCCAAAACTGAAATTAGGCTTTGGGCCCTTTGGTGGGCTTTTTTTTTTGTTTTTTTTTTGTTTTGGTTGCTATGTGCCAAATTTTGGTGTCTTTTAGTGTGTATTGAAAATTCCTCTGCTACATTTCTGAAAATTTTTGTAAAATTCTGAAATTGGAATGCTGGCAAAATTTGCATGAAGCTTGATGAAAGTGCACTTTTGCCTTGCAGTTTTTATAGTTTTATAGTTTTTTTTTTTTCTTTCCGTTTTTTTTTTTTTTTGTGCTTACTCCTTAGTCAATATGGTTTCCTCTCTCCTGATTGGTGGGCTACGTAGTTTGGTTAAAACTTAAAACGCCCTTTGGCTTTCTTTATACATGGCATGACAATTTGTCTGAAAAATTCTGCCTCCTTTAACTCTCTCTCAAGAGTCTGGGCCGCACATTCAGCATTGTATTTGTTTGCTCTATAAGGGTACCCGGAGGAGGTGCCCCTCATGGATTATCTGTGGGTTCTTCAAACGGGGTGGGGGAGCCGAAGGAGGTGCCCCCTCATGGATTATCTGTGGGATTCATACTCCTTTGCACCCTTGGGCACCTCCTCCGGCTCTCCCACCCCGCTTGAAGAACCAGAAAAAGACAAGTTCCATACCATGCAACTTGGTACAACAGAATACAAGGAATCTGGTAGAGAGCAAAAAGCTGATGGTTATATCTTGCTATACAAGGAATCTGGTCGAGAGCAAAAATGCTGATGGTTTCTTGATGGGGTGGTATGCTCAGAAGACGACTCTGGAGGGCTGCTGGACACTGTATTTGATGAAATTGGGAAAATATTTTCGGGTGCGGATGATGAACGAAGCAAGGCTATGCGGAACGTTGCTTTCTGGGTGAGTTTACACAACACACTCTCATTAACTTTGTGTGAAGTTGAGTGTTTTTCTTTCGCAGTCGATGTCTTTTTTTTTTTTTTTTTTTTTTTTTTTTTCAAAGCCAGTGGGAATTATTCCCTGGTTGGGTCTGGGTTTGAACTCGAGTCTGCATTTCAACAGTTTGTGGGTGTGTAGTACTGTGTACCAGCCGGTCTAGGCCCGTTGGTACGCAGCCGATGTCATGTTTCTTTTTTTATGGTTTACTTTTGTACTGTTTGTCTGCAGCACTTGCCATTCATAGAATGGAGTACATTATAGCTTCAGCATTTTTTCGTGAAGTCCTTCGGGACAGCCATTAATACAGAGAAGATTAGCATGTTTTTGTAAACATTTCTATGACAAACTGTAAAGCTATGCTGATGGTTAGCAGCATGCAGAAATAGAAAGGCTGCATGTTTGGGAAGGGTGCATCCACTGGACATTGTAATGTTCAAGAATGATGAAACCGTTGTTCTTCTGTTCGCCTGTGCTGCATTAGCACAAGGTTTCGACAGTCTGTGACCTTCCAGATCAGCTACCCAAGGTGGTTTTGGGGTCTTAGGGTATGGGCGAGTCTTGCTACGGTGGCTGTTTTATCACTCTGAGGATGGATGGCTGGACTGATGGGGGGGGGGGTTGGGTGCTGGGGCGTGGTGGCTGAATTTGGATTAGGCTCTATCTTGCGTGCTTGTGTTCATTGCCTCTATGGAGGGGAGAGTCGTGAGGGGCTGGGGGGTCTGTCTGGGGTTGGAATTTGGTCGTGGGGGGTGGCGATTATCAGCCAATCCTTGAGGACTAATTTCTCTCCTTCTATTCGGCCTAGGTTAGCTTGCTAGTATTGAATCTTTTGAATATTTCTTCTTTTTTCTTGGTCTGGACTCTGGAGTGTCCTTAATTTGTGTATTTTCTTTCCTCTAGATTGCATAAATCTCTGTTTCAACTAGTTGTTTTATGGTGATGAGGGGGTTCTCTGGTATGCCAGCATGGTCTTCGAAGGTTAAAGCACCAGTACACGGCTACCTGGGCCGCGGGCCTGACACCTCGAACTCTGGAAGCGCAAAACGAAAAAGTGACCGCCGATCCTATTTATCAACGGCAGGCCCTCCTTTTGATGTTTTGGCCTTGTTTTCTTGTGGCGACAAGTTTTGGACTGCAAAGTTGCGGCTGTGTACTAGCGGTTTAAGCTGCACCGTCTCTTCCAGATGGCCCATCGGGTCCCCTTTCAGACTAGCGAGAAGAAGAACTGATGGAAACCTCTAAGTGGGGGGGCTTGTTCGACGTCCAGAATTGACATGCTAAGGCTTATTAGCAAGTTCTATTTGACATAGTTTCCAGGTTAGTTCACTATCTGACCATAGCTGCTTGGTTTTCTCACATTCTATGAACTTAGTATGAAGCAATGATTGACAGATTCCTTGGATTGGGTGTTGCAGAATTTGCATGAGGTAGATTGTTCCATTCTGTTTTCCTTTTTGCTTCTCTGCGATAGCCATAGGTTTACTGGTTCGGTCTTATACAGAAGAGAGAGGACCAGGAGGGTTTTATTATTGCACTGTTGAGCGTGCTTTCTTCTTTCTCCTATCTATTTTGAAGTAGGCTTGATATTGATTGATGTTTGGAGTTTAGTCTGTAGCCTAGTCTGGGGGTGTAGTCTGTGTTAGTGCATGGTGTCTGGCTATTGTGGTGAGGCGGCTTGGGGTGCTGCATGACCATTCTGCTGGATCTACTTCCAGGTCTTGTATGCTTGTGTCTGGTTTGTAGACTCTGTTTCTCTCTCCTTCTATAACTCTGATTCTTCTTAGTGTTGTAAGTTGTGCCTTCCCTTTTGTGCTGTTCTTAAATCTTTCTCGGATTCCAGTTATTTGATACTTCATCCCAGAGATGTTCGAATTGCCACACTCCTTTTTCTAGGCAGAGACCCCATTTGGAGTTTGACTTAGTGAGTGGTATGCTCTCCCCCCTCTCGTCTTTGGTCCAGGGGTTGCCGAATAATGAATGGTTGCCTGGGCACTTCATCTCTCCTTCTTGGTCAGATCTTTTTTTTTGGGAAGATTCTCCCCCGCATATGGATGAGATGTTCCCAGAAGGATTTGGTTGTTTCTCCTTCCTCCTCCTCCTCCTGGCCTGGGTTGACATTCAGAGTTCCTTTCTCCTCAGGGAGTTTCCTTAAAGGGTTAATCGGATGACCCATTTGGTATGCAGTGCTTGTATCTTGTGAGCCGGGTCTAGGATTCCCAGTCCCCCTGTTTCTTGGGTTGAGTGACTTCTTGCCATGCTACTTTGTTGATTGATGAACTGCTGGTTATCTGGATTTCCAGTCCATAGAAAAGCAGCAGCCCATCTCCTGATTTGCTTTTGGAAGTCAAGGGATGGAATCGAGATGGAGGCAGCTACCACAACATTGCCAATACTCAGTCCTTTAGCGCTAGTACCCTTCCGAGGAGCGAGGTGTGGACTCCTTGCCAACTGTGCATTTTGTCAATCATCTAGGACATGAGGGAAGGTGCCTACAAAGGATGGGAACCTTTTATGCTCAGATTTAGCCCCAGGAAGCGGATGGGAGAGGTGGGGCCTGCCCATTGCATTCCCTCTGGGCCAGTTGCTGGGTAGAGAGGCTTCTGAGAGCCACCATCGTATTGTTTTTGACTAATCAACTTTCATTTCTGAGGCTAGTTGGAAGGCTTGCATTGCCCTTGCTAAGCCTTGAAATGGCAATTCGGTCGGTAAATGCAGGGTATGACCTCTTTCGTCTCTGATGCCTTCGAGTCTTTCTATAGATGGGTTTTTCTTAGGAAGACTGCTTTGGCTTCCATGACGAAGAGGAGGATTGGGGCGGCTAATGGGTCCCCTTGTCTTACCGATCTGCTCATATTGTAGGGGTTAAAGAGGAAACCATTTACTTGGACTATGCTCTGTGTGTCATTGTACAAGACTCTAATCCGTCTGCTGAAAGTTATGTCCTATTCCCATTTTCTCCATGCATGTTGGTAATCCCAGTTCTTACTTGGTCATGGGCTTTCTTGTAATCAAAATACAAAATTGCGGCTGTGACCTTCTTTTGGCTTAGCACTCTTGTGGTTTCGCATAAAGTCACCACATTGTCCAGAATGAACGTATTTGGTGGTTGTGTGTCTTTTGTTTTTCATCAGCCTTGTGTGACATGTTGCTTCAAATTGTTTTCTCTGCTTCACACCCGTCTTTCGCCTTTTGTTGCTTTGTCAAGTGCCGTTTTTGAGTCTTTGACACTGCAAAGTCAAGTCCGTGCACTGGGAGGCACCTTTGCTACTTTACCCAGACATGAGGAGTGTGCACATTTCAAAGTGCCAACAGTACTACCCCATATGTTTAGTCTTCTATGTATTGTTTCCCTCTCCCCCCTGCCCTTCTTGTCCATCCGGTGCGGATGTCATTGCTCTTGTTTGGTTCCACCTTAGCTGATGATCCACATGATGATTTTCACCCTTCTATGAGGCGTTTGGGCTGAGAGATGATCAACCTTGGACAAAAACAGGAAGGATGGTGAACTTGAATCTTTCTGTCAGTTTCTGATATGCAACTGCTTGGTGGAAGTTTGGGTGGGGTTTGCTGGGCCTTCTTCTTTTCCCTCCGTTAAAAGCGGGTAGTCCTTAACATTATTGTTATCGTGTCATATGGAATAACGAACTCTTAATCTGCTCATCCAGAGTTATATGTATGTACCATTGCACCATCAGGAATGTTACAGTTGGCAGGGGCCCCTGATCTTGAGCCAAGCACCCTTTCTAAATGTTGAGTGCGTTTGTGCTAGAGTATGGTTGAGTGTGTGTTTCTAGTGTTCAGGTTCAGGGATAGTTCCTAAGTAAAATGGCTGTTGATTGTTCGTGTGTTTCAGTGTGGTTTGGTATTGTTTTACAGTAGTCTAGTCTGTGTTTACTGTAGTTTTTTTTAAAACAAAGCCTTTGTTCTATTCCGAATGATGTCTGAGGCCAGCAGATCGAAGCTTGATTCTTTGCTGTGGAATGCCAAATAAGACTGAAGGAGCTTGCTGTGTCGCTTGAGCTCCTTGTTATACTGTATGCAGGTTGAGGATTCTGGTCATACTGTCGAGGTCCAGCCTCCTGATGAGTCGGTGAAAGCCCGACGAAACAGTCTGCCTCAGCATCTTTTTGAAGCTCTGAGAATTTGACGACATTTGTCAGTGTATGATCATGTAACTCGCACCTGTGATGAAATGGAATTCCCTCCCTCTCCTCCCTCTCCTCCCTCTCCTCCTTCTCCCTCCACAGCCTCCTCTTTCTCTTCCTCCCTCCCTCCTCTCCCTCCTCCTCTTCCTCTTCCTCCTGCCTCCTCCTCCTCCTCTTCCTCCTCCTCTGCTTCGCCCTCCTCCTCCTTCTCCCTCTTCCTGCTCCCTCTCCTCTCCCTCTCCTCTCCCTCTCCTCTCCCTCTCCTCTTCCTCCTCCTCTCCCCCATTCCTCTTTTCCTGTTCTTTTTTCCTGAGTTGATCATCTTGCAAAGAAGACTGGTTCTATACTTCCAACGAAACTGGAGAGAGTTTTACTGGCTAAATGCTATGAGCCGACTACCCAAATCTTAAGATTGATCCAAACACTGTGAAGTGGGCAGGTGGAAAGCATCTTCCCTTCCCCTCTTTTTCTCTCTTGTTCTTATTCACCACCATCATCGTCAAGCATCGTAGTACGCGCACCATAACCAATTTCCATAGAAATCAGGGATGGTTCCTTAAAAACCAACCAACCAAACAAACAAATATACGTACATACAAACGAACATACAAATAGACAAGGCCGTATGGTCCTGTCTCCGTTCTATCCTATGGATCTGCAGTACGGTTCCTTCTTTTTTTTTTTCCTTTTTTTTTTTCAAAACAGAACCTTATGGCTCTGGCTCCTTTCCCATTCTGGGGAGCGTCAGTCCGGTTCCTATTCCACCGGAAAGTCAAAAGGAAATACATATAGGACTCACGCACGCTCTTCCCCTTT